TTGATGATAATATTAGGTTTGTTTCGTTTAACAGAACTACAAAGCCAAAGGAAGGTTATTTGTCATCATCACTCCACGAAGATGAGTGGATCGCGTTTCCGATCCCCTGGTAGATTTTGCGAATTACTGCTCTTGTTAGGGCCAGTGTTAGCAACACCTCCTGGTTTGAGCGCCCGAGAGCTCACCTACACGCTAGGGTAACGTTGATATAGTCTCACAAGGCTATCAGCAAAGGTAGGAAAAAAAACGGATGTCCAATACTGAACAGGCCTCGACGACGCATACGGCCCACCTGATGGTGAGTGGTTACCGTCGCTCATGGACTTCAGCAATGCCAAGGGCAGAACCAAGCCGCTGCCTACCGCAAAAAAAATATATATATAATATAATTAGTATTATCAATTTAAGGACTTCAATCGTTAATTTGGAATGTTTTTGCTGAACATAACCCGATGTTTGGGTATGGAGAGAATTCCTAGTTAGGAATTGCAAGTCATAGTGCTAATGACCGTTTTTATATCAGTCAAATAGTCGGTTCACTACGCACATAACCTACTGCCTAAATTCAATGAAAATATTTTATTGTGTAAAACTCATTAAAATCAAATAACTTTTCTCACCTAAATAACGCTGTTTTTAATACTATTTTTCTTTCATATTAACGGTCATTTAACATCTTAATAATTTATTTTAAATTATAATATTCTTCTACAAGAAAAGTACAGGTCCCCCGACCTATTGTATTCCAATAGGTTAATATTATGGAAAAAGTCTCTTCAGTCTACCAAAATGTTTATGGAACGTCTTTCTAAAGCATATAATATCTCAAAGGAGGTCAATGCTTGTCTGATACTAAGCGATTATTGAAGCTTGTACACCTCGCAACCTAAATCCAGTCGCCTATCTTGAAACATGAGATCAAATAATAATGGAACCCGTGTTTTCCCGCCGGTGGAATAACTGACATTTTTGGGCTCAATACGTGCATTTCCAACGCCAGTGTCAAACGACAATCACTTTTTTTTTTTCCAAGCTATCGATTCTTCTGTGGAATTTACGTCTCAAAAGCGGCAGCTATAACCATTTTTTCAGAAAATGGGACAAAATATTGCAGAAGTCGCAATATAACTTGGGAGTGAATTACGTACCTAATTACCTATAGTATTTTTTAGCATTCAACTATATATTGCCTATTTAAGATTTGATTGAAGTTGAGTTAAATATTAGTGGAGAATTAGATATGGAATGTTATGGCAGTACATCTAATGAGCCCCCAGTGGTAGGCACTCTGTCGCTTATTTCTGCCACGAAACTGAAATGCTTTCCGGTTGGAAGGTGGGGCCATACTATTAAAACTGAGACTTAGAACTCATGTCTCAAAGTGAATCTATGGGATCCGGTAACCACTTTACCCGCGAATCAACAATCAGCTCTAACACTAGGAGCAGGCTTAGGGACCTCGGTAACCGTACTCGTCGAACTCGACAAAGAGTTCGCCGTGCAACCTAACCCATGAATCAGCTCGCTGAGTTTCTCGCCGGATCTTCTCAGCGGGTCGCGATTCCGATCCGGTAGTAGATTCATTCGCGAAGCAGCTACTCTTGAGCTGTTAGGTCTCCTTCGGAGGCGCTCGGGTAGCTGTTAGCAAATCCCACCCCTCCTGGCTGAGCCTTTGCTCGCCCACCTGTCCTGGTGAAACTGGAAAGGCCTCCGGGCCACCAGTAATCCTTCCACCATAAAAAAAAAAAAAAAATCGTGCCCTAATCTTTTCTCTGTGTTTGAAATAGAAACTATTATTTTGTCTTGAAAATTTTATGACACGCACATTACATATTCCGTAAACCTTGACTTACCGTTTAAGCTGTATTTTTTTTGCATAGATGGTTGGACGAGCTCACGGCCCACCTGGAGTTAAGTGCTTACCGGAGCCTATAGACATCTACAACGTAAATGCCGCCACCCACCTTGAAATATGAGTTCTAAGGTCTCAGTATAATTACAACGGCTGCCCCACCCTTCAAACCGAAACGCATTACTGTTTCACGGCAGAAATGAGCAAGGTGGTGATACCTACCCCTGCGAACTCACAAGAGGTCTAGGACTAGACTAGGGCTAGAACTGCTGGTAGGACCACCAGTTCTATATATTTCAGTACAAAGCGTTTCATAAATTTTACAACTGACCTTTTAATACAGGTAAAGGTGGTGTGGTCACATTAAAATAACTCATTCGGAAAATCAAATTTCCGTGACAACAGGCGTCCCACCGTAAAGAAAAAACTTTTTACGACAAATTCTCCGGTATACGACTCGTAACGAATTAAACGGCCGAACGTTAGAGCCAGAATCATTTCTTCATTTACGTCCCAGTCAGGAGAAAAGTTTGGGAAATTGAATTTTAAACGAAACCTAAATAATTAAATTATTAATGGTAAATGGATTATTGTTTATTCTGTCTCGATGGTGCAGCGGTTAGCGGCCCTTACTGTCGCGCTGAGGGTCGTGGGTTCGATTCTCACATCGGGCACACATTCGTGTGATTGACAGATTTGTTTGCTCTTTATCTATATATGTATATTTAAAAATATTTAAACATATTTAAGTATGTTTATCAGCATATGGTACCCATAACACAGGGAATCCTAAATTGGGGCCGAATGACCGCGCGTGGCTTGTTCCCAAATTATTATTATTATTATTACCTATATTATTATTCCCTTTTTAAAGATAGCTAATCCGCTTTTAGCAGTAAGCTCTTTTGAAAACACGCGCTCGCTACAAAAGAGTTAATGAGTAACAACGAATTGTAATGTTCCATCGAATACCTACCATCCATATTATAAAATTAGTTTAATACAAATCTGATATTGTCACAACATGTTTCTGAAGATTTAAAAATACCAAGTAAATTTAAATTTACGCCGATCTGGTATTTTAAAAATATCCTGGGTATACAAACTAAACCTTATTGCACAAACAACATTCATTGTTCGATTTTGTTTTGATTTGGTTAAAACGATGAGTTTAAAAAAAAAAGGTTTTACATTCAGCAATCAAGCAAGCGGTGTAATTTTATAAAGAGTTCACTTTATCACACGTTTTTTTTACGGATTAAAAAATAAAAAGTATACTTTGATACTATTTTTCTTTCATATTAACGGTCATTTAACATCTTAATAATTTATTTTAAATTATAATATTCTTCTACAAGAAAAGTACAGGTCCCCCAACCTATTGTATTCCAATAGGTCAATATGGAAAAAGTATCTTCAGTCTACCAAAATGGTTATGGAACGTGTCTTTCTAAAGCATATAATATCTAAAATATAATATAAAAATTATTTGTTTTATAATTTTTATGTTTAATTACTTTTTTATATTGTACTTTTTTCATTAAGTTTTTGTCAGCGCCTTTTGCTACACAAAAGCAGTTTTTTGTTGACGAACTTGTCTATTTTTTTTCTACTGACAAATAGTGTGCTGAGTTTTAAACATAAATTCTTGCTTTATCTATAATTATCCTTTTTTCCATTCCTTAAATCTTATTTTAAAAACTAGTGATAGGGAGCCCAGACTAGATGATACCGCCAAATTATACACTTAATATTTGAGAATTTAGAGAGTTCTGCCTTTACCGTGTATGCCATAGATAATATTCCTAAATTAGTGTATATTATTATATAATATAAATTTATATACATCATCTGTTGAGGTATTTAAAAAATGGGTTGGGTAGTTTAGGTATGTTAATAATTCTTCCATGGGGCATGTTGATGATCAACATGGAACGATCATGGAACGATCTAAGATCCATACTATACGACACCATACTACCACTGGCATGCTTACAAAATGCACCCGGGTAAATATCTAAAGTTGATGCAAAGGATATATCTTTTTAGGGGAGTAGATACAGAGGGAAATTTAGAGGAAAATATCGTCATTTACAAAAATATACGAGTTTTAAGTATGCGTACATTACAGCATGAAAACGTGAATTAAATTTTAAGCCTAAACAAATACAACCTAAAGCATAATTCTTGTTGAAAATATCCATTTTCCATCTCGAGCCAAATCAAGTAATTGTTTTAATTTTTTTGCCTATTCCAGTCAGATGAGCATACAAGCTCACGCTACCACGGTGTAAATATTATTGTATCAATACCCGTCATGAGATAGAAAATTTAAGTTTAATTTAAATTTGAACAATATCACCTACCTTGAAAATGAAATGCCCTAAAATAGGTATCTCGGCGCTGCAGGAGTAGCAAAATTGTTTTGCTATTAAAGCAAGACATGAATACCTCTAAAGAAACCTTGAAGACTAAGGATTTTGAAGTTGTTGTTCTAATGGCTGGTAATACTCTCAAATATTAAGTCTATAATGGAAGTTGGCGGGAACGCGAGGAGTGAAGTTGTGTGATTTCTTTTATTTTGTCTATTTAGTGTTTCTTCGGGTTTAAATGTGTAATAACGGTGGTTTATTAACTATTTAATATCTGTGAAAGTACACAAATGTAGGAAAATGAAAAAAATTAACTGGACGTAACTTCTCGGGATCCTCCAAAAAGCCCACTGAAAATATTTCAGTAAATGACCACCATTTTACTGAGATTATACTTCATCCCATATCATCTCATCTCATTTCATTTCATTTCGTTTCGTTTTCATTACATTTCATACCATGTTTCATAATAATCAACTTCATTTCATTTCATAATATCATTTTCATATAAAAAAGTTAAACATTAAAATTATAATAAGACATGACTTAAAGGCCTTAGATACCAGGTCATAAAATCCCTTAAAATTTTTTTTTATGTATAATCTATTACCCATAGATATTTTTTTGGTACAATTTTTCCTTATTGGAAAAAGCAAGAGGATCTAAGCCCATACAGCCTTTGACCCATAGATTATACATTTAATACTTTATTGGATGTCAAATGTCAATATTATGTCAAACTCAAAGAAAGAAATTTGATCGACATCGTTGAAAATATAAAGTGAAGGTCAATGCGAAGCGAAGCAAACCAAAACATGAATTTAAGTTATTAACGGATATAATTTTGAGCAAATCAAATCAAAAGTGATGCATTTGCAAAATTACTTGTCTGTATTAGTAAATTTGTGCAGTATATAAGAACTATAAGAACGAAAATGGAGGGCAAAAAAATATCTTTCGGTTTCATGAAAACGAAAAAAGCAGAAAAACCAGTCGTAGACGAAAAAAAGGACTATATAGAATGTGTAGAGGAGAAATCTATCAAAGTAGTCGGGTAAAATGACATCAAATACTTTAGAAAACTACGTTAACATTTAAAAATTTTATTGTTTTCATTTTAAAATCAAATGTGCTCTTTTTTTATTGCTTAGATGGGTGGATGAGCTCACAGCCCACCTGGTGTTAAGTGGTTAATGGAGACCAGAGACATATACAACGTAAATGCACCATCCACCTTGAGATATAAGTTCTAAGGTCTCAAGTATAGTTATAACGCCTGCCCCACCCTTCAAACCGAAACGCATTACTGCTTAACAGCAGAAATGGGCAGGGTGGTGGTACATACCCGCGGGAACTCACAAGAAGTCCTACCACCAGTAAAAAACAACAAATATATTAATTTACTTTAAACTAGATATTGACTGACTCGCAGACTTAATATTTAGTAATGTCACTTATGAAAACGATCATAGAATGCTGCAGTCATAAATTCTATGAAAAAATTTTGCTTGAATGGAGATGAAATTTGCCTGCATTTTTAACCAACAAAAAGGGGGCTCCTGTGTTCTTGTAGATAGTAGGATCTTCCCTTTTCCACGCGATATCACCCTCATAAACAGTGATTACATTGTTTTTTAAGGAAAATACTAAAAATGATTAAAAAATCAAATACAAAACAAACAAAGAAAAACTGGGGAAATGTAAAATAAAAATGGGACTTTGGGTAAACAGTCTTCCTGATTTATGCCAAAAAAGATCTCCAAAATTGAAATGTGGGAGTATGTACCTCACATCAACTTCTACACATCTACCTTAACACTTAAATTTTAGCTTTCCATGTTAACTATAAAATTTTACCAAACTCAATCTGCATTAATTGAAAAATATACTGATATCATGACATTCCTAAAATTCTCATAATTTAAATTCAAACTACTAAAAATATATATCTTCATTTATAGTGCGGAAGATATCAAAGATGACACACCTTTAATAATTCCAATGAAACCTAACACGCTCATCACGACTGAGAGATTGAAGCAGATAGCCGAGAAAGTAGAGAGTGCTTTAGATGAACCGGAAGTTGTGAAGTCAGATAGTCCAAAGACTGTTGAAATTCCAGAAAATGAGACTTTAGAGCAGATGGCTGTCAGAGAATTAATGGAAGACACGAAGAAGAAGGTGAAAATTGAAACGTCAGCCATAACAGTACCGTTACCTGCTAAACCAGTTACTGATGGAGAAAAAGAGGTAATTGTAGTCAAATAAAAGTGACAGTAGTCAAAAGCCTGGGTGTTTTTTACAGCTTATGGCCCAGGTAGTGTTGAATGATCACTGAATATACTAAGTCTACAAGTATGTATTATGGTCAAACCAGAATGCAGGATTATTGAATGGTGAAAATAGATAGTAGCTACCAATACGGACTCAGAGTACTATTACTAGGAAATTACAAAAACTCCACTACTGATAGCACTTGATGCCATTTTTGACCTATTTAGATGAAACCTACTGAGTAGTTGAATAATATATTGTGTTTCAGTTTAAAGGGTGGGGCAGTTATTGATGTGCAAAAATTGAGACTTAGAACTCATCACTCACTCATGTGCCTAATGTACCTCTGGCAACATACATTGTTCATGTTAATGAGCCCTAGTATCCGCTTCATACTGTGTGGGCCATAAGCTTGTTTGTGCTTACTTGTTCAATAAAGCATCTGAGTCAATAGTCTGATTTTATATTATAATATTTCAGTCAACATTGGATGACTATGACGCTGTACCAATACAAGACTTTGGTATGGCAATGCTTCGTGGAATGGGATGGACACCAAACAAAGACCTGTAAGTTTAACAAATGGGATCATGTCTATTGCATCATCACATCTAAAATTAGTTACAGTTCAGAAACAAAGACTAGATTTAAACAAATATAAAAAAACAGCTATGATTTAAATTTTTCCTCCATGGATTCTCTGGTAGTGGAGCTGATCGATATCACAATATGAATGCCATCAGTTACTTTGCAACATGAAAGTCTTAATTAATATAATATACAGGTTGTACCACTCTTTGAAATAGAATGGATGACTGCTTCAATTCAGAAATAGAATGGATGCATACTTACAATACACCCTACTACCAGCAATTACACCTTAAAAATTTTGTTTCATTTTACATTATAATTTTTTTTTATTGATGTTGACATGTGGTTTTTCTAACCCAGGATAGTCCTATCGCTTCATTTGTGAACACCGGTTATCATATTAATTAGACCACAATTAATTTTCAGTTTTAAATCTTCTTATTCTTTCTTCCCTATTTCTCTCAGCTGGGGTGTAGGGCTCGAATCAAATTCTTCATTTGCATCGGTCTTCGGCAGTCTATTCTACCTCCTCCCACGTCATGCCCAAGACGCCTGGCAAAAAGAAGAGAGAGAGAGAGAGAGATCCCAAAACATGTTCTTAATATTACTATTTAAATATATATTACTTTTCAATAAAACTTTGCAGGCCCAAATACAAGCAACCTCAGTTAAGGCCTAAAGGCCTAGGACTTGGTGCCGACAAAGTTGTCTCAGATAAAAAGAAAACATCTAAAGACAAAAATGGTGAAGAATTAACAATTGTGAAGAACTCATTTGTGAAAATTACAACTGGGAAATACAGTGGATATTATGGAAAGGTTAGTTTAGTTAATCCATACATTAATTAATTGAAGACATGAGTGGATGAAGGGGATATGATACAATTTTTATTTTTTTTATTGCTTAGATGGGTGGACGAGCTCACAGCCCACCTGGTGTTAAGTGGTTACTGGAGCCCATAGACATCTACAACGTAAATGCGCCACCCACCTTGAGATATATTTTCTAAGATCTCAGTATAGTTACAACGGCCGCCCTACCCTTTAGAGCGAAACGCATTACTGCTTCACGGCAGAAATGGGCCAGGGCGGTGGTACCTACCAGCGCGGACTCACAAGAGGTCCCACCACCAGTAAAGTAATTTGTTAATTTTGGGAAAACGGGCAACAAACTTTCGTTGTTTGTCCTTTTTTTCTTCATACATAACTCCTTCAACACATGCAATTGCTAAAAATAGCCTTTAAACCCAGAGTTTTAAGGTCTAATATGGTTTATAGGCACATAACACCTTCATCAAACTCAAAAATCTAAAAAATGGTACTTAACCTCATCATCCACTCATGTCTTCAAATATTTGTTTTATTTTTTTTTCTTCAATGTGCCGATCACACTTCATTCGGAAGCTTATTTTAGCCAGAGTCGAGTCAGCCAAAGGCGACATAGTAACTTCATCTTGAAGTGTCGAGTGTAGAGGGATAGGAGGAGGGCCTTTAGAAATAGGCGGTATAGGAGGAACTAGGGCAATATATACATATAGTAATGTAAAGAAGAAAAATATATTATAATAAAATATGATGGAAGGTTAGAAAAGAAATAAGACCTTTAATATATTTGAAATCAACAAAGGAAAGTATAGTGTAGGAGTTACAAAGGAGAGGAGCACGAAATTTTATAAGGAATTCATAAAGTGGTTTGGATTTGTATTTGACACATTCAAATAATGTATGTTCGATGTTTCCATTGGTATTGCAATGTTCACAAGCATCTGAGTCAACGACACCAATTCTCGATAAATGACTGGGTAAACTACAATGGCCAAATCTTAATCTCGATATGGTAGATGTTATTTTTTTGGGAAATTAAACTTAGAAAACCAAGGTTTTAAACTAATTTTGATATGAAGACGACGATATCGTCCACCTTTTAATAAACAAGACTTTTCCCACTCGGAGTTCCAATCTTTTAAAAGATACTCCCGAGGCTTTTCTAGTAGGTGTTGAGTATACACTTTATCAATATATGTATTACCCTGCCTTGCGGCCATAGCAGCTAAATCATCTACCAATTCATTTCCTTGGATGCCCGAATGGCCAGGAATCTATGCTAATGTGACTCGTAAATTTGAATCATGACATTCTTTTAATTTAAGTTTTACCTCAAGAGAAAGCGGACAAGGAGGTTTCTTTTTAAATGGGTTTGATAAAAGAGACTGAAGAAAGCTCAATGAATCAGAAAATATATATGAATTCTCTATTTTAGAGAAGAAGAGTCTTAAGAAAGCAGCTCCTACGCTTTTTTTATCCGAGGAAACGGATTTAGACGCGTCAGTATAGAAATCCTCCGGTCTAGGTTCTAAGTTTTTAATAAAGGAGGCTAATTTTGAGTTTGCCGAGCTTGATCCTTTTTGGATATCTATTGATAACTTGATATCGGGTACAAACATTAAAGTCTCGTAATCATATGAAAAAGTTGAGTGGCATTGAAATTTATGAATTGAACAACGTAGTTCTAAAAATCTTCTATAGCTAGAAACTAAGTAAGGAATTTTCTTGTTACGCCAGAAAGCATTGCGTCCATTAATAACTTCACAAAGATTTTGTAGTTTCAAAATTAAGGGGTGTCCATGATATTGTTGAATTTTAAATATAAATCAATCAAAAAGGTATTGTCTACGCAAAGATAGCGGCGGTTCAAATGTTCAGTGACAGATAATATATATATATATATCTATATATATATATATATATATATAATCTGTCACTATATTTTTTTTAATTTACACGCCACGTTAACTGGTCCCGTGATAAGTTGGTAAAGAACTTGTGTTACAGGTACCAGGTAACGGAAATAAATGTAAGATTTTTTATTATACACATACATATATTTAATATACATCCATAACCCTGGAAAAGACATTTATATTTACCATACAAATATCTTCCCTTGGCGGGATTCGAACCCGCGACCCCCTTGTGTAGTGACCATGTCACTTACCACTACACCGGACGGCCGTTAGTTTCCTATCCTAGCTCCTATAGGATATGTATAAAGATACCTCATCATTTGTCATACAATTTTCAAAAACATTTCAGGTGCTTAGCCTCGATGAAGACAACGGCAGAGCTATGGTCAATATAGTGATGAAAAATGAAACTGTCAATCTAAGCGAGTTCATGATGCATCCGGTCACAAAGTCCGAATTCGACAAGGAATCCAAAGTTATAAGTACTTAATTTTTTTTCATTTACATCTGTCCTCCTTGTCTCTGATCTCTTGGCAGAATGGTCGTGACCGTTGTGTGTTTAGTGATGGATTTTATCCGGTGACACTCTGTTCTGCCGGTTGCTGTGTCTGGTGCTTATGTGCAGGAAACAATTTCTTGTAGCCCTTATCTGGTCAGTCTTAGACAATTATAAACTTTTTATAGGCCACCATATTCCTTTCTAATTTAACTATTTACTACTTGTGAAGAATACTTAACGGTAGGTAGTGGTTTGGCTCTGCCCCTGGCATTGCTGACGTCCATGGGCGACGGTAATTACTCATCATCAGGTGGATCTAATGCAAGCCTGTCTACAAAGGCAATTAAAAAAAATCAGGTCCATCTGTTCACAAAATAACAAATTATGTAAACAAATTTTGTTTAAAACAGCCGTGGATCTTATAAACCGTCTGGTTTTAATAAGTTGCAGTGCTTCACAGCGTGAAAGCAGTCATCTTAAGATATAAGATCAAATTACCATTGTAGAACGCCTATAACCAAACTGCAAATCAGAATGCGTGAATACTGGTGGTAGGACCTCTTGTGAGTCCGCGCGGGTAGGTAACCACCCCGCCTAATTCTGCCGTAAAGCAGTAATGCGTTTCGGTTTGAAGGGTGGGGCAGCCGTTGTAACTATACTGAGACCTTAGAACTCATGTCTCAAGGTGGGTGGTGGCATTTACGTTGTAGATGTCTATGGGCTCTGGTATTCACCTAACATCAGGTGAGCAGTGAGCTCGTCCACCAACCTAAGCAATTAAAAAATAAAATACTTTGTAGAAGGAAGGAATTTTATAAATTTTTGGAATTTAGTTTCATTACACAATATAAACGTGTTGAAGTCTGTTGTGACCACCTGTTAGGCTATGATTGTCTTGTCATGACACACAAATCACAATTGTATGTATAAATTATTGTGCTTGGTCTGATTCATCTATATATATTATAAGTTCTACATTTATTTTTCAATTGAGTTACAATAATCGACTAAATGTCCAAGTATTGTAACCTAATTACGATTTTTTTCACAGGTTCTATTGAAGAACTCTCTCACAATATGAAGTTTAATTTAAATGTTTTTTCTCCACGGAGGGGCCTGTAAGGTACAATACTTGGACCATTCACATGTAAATTTGTTTTTTTTTTCAAGAGCAATACACTAAGTATCTATAAAAATTTGTAAATATTTATAGATGCAGACAAGTACGAAAAATACAAGAAAGATGAAAAAGTCCCTCAATCGTCAAAAGAAAAAGATATAGAGAGTTCACCTAAAAGAGAATTGAAGAAAGAAAAGTATGAATATACCGATAGGCGTGAAAGAGAAGATTGGTCAAATGGTAAAAATAGAAAAGAGGATAGACATAGGAGAGACTCGTCAAGCACTGGTGAGGAGAGATCTCAGAAGAAAAAGAAGCACAAAAAAAGATACAGCAGCAACGAATCATTAAGTTCTCAATCAGAGGATGAGAGGAGGCGGAGGAAGAAAGACAAGAAAAAGCGTGAAAGAAGCGTGGATTCTGAAGATGAATATAAAAAGAATAAAGGTAGCACTACACCGGACGGCAAACGAGATATCGATAAGAAGAGGAAGGGGAAAAAGAAGAAAAGAGACAGGGATCGTTCACCGAATTATAAAAAACATAGAAAATAAGCTTTACATGAATTACAATCTTCATCATTTTTATTTTTTTATTTTCCGCTCCTCGTTTTGACTGAAAAAGGCCTTGTAGAATTGAAACTAACCGGTTTAATTTTAGGGCTCTTGAATCTCGAGCTGCTTAAAAGTTCGGTCAGAAAAAAAACCGCAAAAGTTGTGATTCTGATTCCATTTTTTTTATCTAATATTCTCAACCACGCCTATACATAGGTATAAATCTCTCATTAAAATTGTCTGACGTAGGCGACGTACAATTTACACCAGCAGCCATGAAGTAACCTTTAATTGTTAAACTTCGTAAATTAATATTGATCTTTATTATGTACAGACATAAAACAAAACAGTGCAGATGTACAGAAAAGATATTTTTCTCTCTTCGTTTATCACTCTTATCAAATCGCGCAAACTCGCATTAATTGCCTTACATTTAGATGTACCTCATTTATTTTCAATACCATATTATTTAATGTCCAGAAATGAGAAGTTTGACCTCTGGACCAGATTTAGGGGAGGGCCCCTACAATAGTGACTTTGGAAAAACATCTTTCAAATTCCGACAAGTAAACACCTTTTCCTTCCTCTGAAATTTAATTTCAGATAATTCTTGTCTCCGATTATATCTGTGTGTTTGTTAAATACTAAGAGAATCTACGTGGTTTCGCAATAAATAATTTATTGGAAAACTCTACTGAAAAAAATTGTTCATTTTATTTGGATAATTATTTGGTGCCAGGGTGCCTCCGCTCCTCTGTTGCCCCAAGGTCTTCAGACCTCTAAACCCAGCCCTGTTTGACCCATTTAAAGCGACTGCGTCTCCTACTTATTCTCTATATACCGCTGTTTAATAGAGAAGCCGTTATGACAATAAATGCTCATATCCCATGGTGGGCATTCATATATAGTGTCTATAGACGACGTGAACGCAGCATATTTACAACAATAAAATTTTAATTATCGACAGTCTATAAGGCTGCCTGTCTTCCGGAGCGGAGCGGAGCAATGGAGTACGGCGGAGCGGAGTTGCGTACTGTGTCTGTCCACCGGAGCGGAGCGAGGCTGCGTAGAGCTTAGTACCTACGCAACGAGTCGGTTCACGCTCGCACTCGCTTCCCCGCTCCGCTTACCGGTTTTGTATGAATTTTTAAACAAGTTCGCAACTCCCTGTCCACTAAAGAGGAGCGGAGATTTTGTGCAATCTTATTGGTTAATATTTCTCCGCTCCACTGCCTCGCTCCGCTCCGATTGACAGGCAGCCTAATCATCCCATGTCTTAGTTACCTATAGACTGTAATAGGTGCGTGTTAAGTTGAGATCATTCTAAACGGAAGTGCTCATTCTAGACCTGATTAATACATACATATAAATTAAAGTCTTTCTGTATGGTTACTATTGAAATTATTGTCCGTGCTATATATGAACTAAATGTCTTCCGTCTGAGTGTACGGCATTTCAGACCGAGTAACACAACCGAACACGAAGCGTTCCAACTATTGACTATCATTGCCTAACTAGCATGGGGAGAATACTCGGTCTAGTTCCTAAAAGTTAATACTATTTCTATCTTACTTTAGTTACCATCAAATATTTTTTTATTGCTTCCATGGGTAGACGAGCTCACGTCGCACCTGCTGTTAAGTGTAGCTTATAGACATCAACAATGTAAATTAAACCACCCTTAAGACATGACTTAGCCTCAGTTTTGCAGTAAAATGGCTGCCCAACCCTTGAAACCGAAACGCATTACTGCTTCACAGCAGTGTGCTTACTGATAGTTTTTTAACGTTCTCACTAGGTAGCGTAAGAGTTATCTAAAATTTGTATGCAGTTGGAACAGCGCCTCTAGTGGCAAACATTCCACAACTCCATACAAATGTGAGTAAAATTTTACGGTATGGAGAACGTTAAAAAACTCACACTTAGCACACAGAAATATGCAGAGCCCGGATCCATACCCGTGCGTGCTCACAGGACGCCTAATCATGCAAATAATAATTGATGCGCTTTTGTTTTTTATTACACGAATGCACCGGGCATCTTATCATTTAGGCCACGACGGTCAAAATTTAAATTTCAAACTAGCAAATAGCAAATGAATTCAACAAACAAGCCAGCAACGTCGCGTTACCTGTTTAATAGTGTATATTTTTTGCGCGCTTAGTCTGCAATCTGCTTGGAATCACACGGAAGGTTTTTTAAGACGAAATTGTCGAAGGTCAATCAGAATAGTACTGTTAGTAAGAATATAATGTAGGTACGTAAAACAAAAGGAAAAGTTTACAAAACGACTTTATTATTTAGAAGAAATACTCAGTAGAATCACACCGGAAGTAAGGTTACAGGCAGGATATCACATTGAACATTTATAAGTAATTTAAATATTTTATTTTATTTTAATACACATACAACTACAAGTACCTACCAACAAATATATTTTTTGATATATATATACATAAAATATGATATATTTTCAAATATTTTTCCAATATAGTTTTTCACCTGTCTTCGTTCTGTTTTTTATCTAAAATCTACTGCTGAAAAAATCCATATATATTATTTTTTCCAAAATAAATTTCTTATGTAAAAATAGTTTTAAAAAAAATTATAAATTTATACTAACATCGGTACATACATTTAATACATCATTAATCTGAACTATTCGAGATTTACTACTCTTTTTCATATAACTTAAAACATGAAAAAGAGTAGTAAATCTATTCAGCAACGAAAGTACTAATACATTTTTTCACGATATTTTTTTACGAAATTCCGAAACTAATTAGGTATATTATAAAGTAGGTAGTTAAAACTCATGAACGTACTTATTCATTACATATTTGCGCAAAACCTCAACAGCATAACAAAAAAGAGAACGGGCCACCACCTATCATATCACGTAACTAAAATGCTTTAGATTTTAGAACATTCAATTAATAATTCTATCGGAGATTAGCATTTAACTACGATAATAATTATAAAATAATTTTTATGCGTTGGACTTATTAGTCGTAAATATTGTTACCAATTTAAGCTTTAATATATTTAAAGTTCGTTCAATTACTAAACGTAATTAGTAAGAAATGTGAAAGTATTGTTTATTGATTCATCGTTTTTGGAAATAGAAACACCGAATTGAGAGAGAGAGAGAGAGAGAGAATACACTTTATTGCACACCAACACAATTTACATTTTAAAAAAACAAACAGTCAAAAAGCACATATGTACAATAGGCGGTCTTATCGCTAAAAGCGATCTCTTCCAGACAACCGTTTAATTTACAGAAATTTTGTAAAATATAAAAAATAAAAAACTTTCTTTTATCTTTGAAGGCGCTTAAAACTAAATGAAATATTGAACGTGCTTAATTTACTTATTGGTGGCCACTTCGGCTATAATCTTAACAAATCAAAATACAATTCCTTTTATTTTAATAAAAACAAAATGCTCATAAATACTTCTAAATTTAGGTATATAAAATTATTACGTTGTACGCTTGGAAAATAGTAGTTAAATATAATGAAAAACTAAAAATATTAGATATCCTTAACACTATAAGCGTCATCACACCGATTAAAAGACACCATGTAACACCATAGGGACTCTAATTAACGATGAATATCATAAACTGTGTGTTTACTTTACTTTAGCGTGCTTTCGTACATAATCTATGAATTAATTTTTGAAAATGGTCTCCACTGGTAAATTTGACTTATCGTTTGACTGGTCATGGCAAAGGATTTTTCAGATATAGATAAAAATAAATTCTCAATAGTCGAAATGTCAAATCGCCACTTCGGTTACAGATAACACTCGTAGTAGGTAACAACGCCTTTAATACGTTGAGTTCTTCCAGAAAAAAAAATCAAGGCAACTGCAATAAAACACCTAAAGCCTTCGTGCATATTTCGTAACTAACTTCAACATCAAGTACCTAGTGTAAATATGAGAGTAATTTGTGGACCACTCAAGTCAGGACATTCGATATGTCACGTCGCTTATGAAGATCATCGTTATTGCACTACAGGGAAGACGAAATTTGTGACCTTATGAGATGAAAGATGAAATTGATTAGTTACCTATACATATAAATACGTAGTAAAATGTTGAAAATACATTTAATCTAGCGCTACAGTGGATTTCTACAGGTCTTTGGTTTCACATTATAAAAAATTCACAACATCAATATTTTTTATAATCATACAATACATTTCTAATATATGGAGTACAATATTCTGGTCAGGTATAGAGGAATGTTGGATATGTGCATACTATAAATTCAACTTCGAAAAAGCAATCAAATCAATGTAGGTAACCTTAATATTTTGTAATAATTTATTAAATTTTTTGTATTCCAATAAATCAAAATATTCGACATTAAAATAATAAACACTAATTTTACTTGACCAAATAATTGTAACTTACTTGAAGAGGTAATAAGATAATAAACCAAGCCCAAGAAATTAAATTATAAATGCTGTCGCCCAAAGAAATGGTAAGGTACCTAGTGAAAGTACCTACATTTACAAATAATGTATAATGTCGACAACGTTTGCCCAGCCCTTAATGAACTCAAATACAGAATGTCAATTATCAAGAAAAGAAAACTGACTTAAAATAATTGCTTAAACTTTGAGATTGTAAAAAACAAAAATGTTATTTACAAAAATAACTATTTGTTAGAGCCACAAGATTCAAGATTACCATTACCTATGTCATTAGTACACCCAATAACACTTCCTTGGACAGCAGAACATTGCGATCTTAAGGTGCTGTGTAAACACAAAATGAATAATTATAATAAATATGTAAATAAAACAAACAAAAAAACATTTTAAATTAATTTCTTGATTTCTTGATTTTCTTTTGAGGTTATATTTAACCTCAAAAGTCAACACAATCTGAAACGTGCCATCAAATAGGTTTGATATGCGATTCTACGCTTTAATGAATGATTGAGTTAGCGTTTGGTGAATGGATTGTTGCGGGCGGTGGTACGCGCCGCGGCCGCAGCTGTCTGTGTGCAATTGCACAGTGCATC